CCGGGCCGGCCCTTTCCTGGTACTTTTTTTTTTTTTTTCCCGTGTCCGGCAACGGATCGCAACCCTCAGTGTTGCCCCCGCGCCTCGCTCAGCCAGTGAGCGGGAACCGGTCTGTATGTGGGATCCGAACCCTCGGCGGGAGCACCGCCGCGCTTCCCAAGCGGTGCACTATAGCAGTGCGCCACCGGGCCGGCCCTTTCCTGGTACTTTTTTTTTTTTTTTCCCGTGTCCGGCAACGGATCGCAACCCTCAGTGTTGCCCCCGCGCCTCGCTCAGCCAGTGAGCGGGAACCGGTCTGTATGTGGGATCCGAACCCTCGGCGGGAGCACCGCCGCGCTTCCCAAGCGGTGCACTATAGCAGTGCGCCACCGGGCCGGCCCTTTCCTGGTACTTTTTAACTCCTTGATGGCAAGGACCACATCTGCTGTTTCTCTGCTGTATGCCTAGCACCTAGCCCATAACCTTGTACTTAGCAGGCCTGAATAAAAGTTGAGGAATTATGATCATGTTTTTAATACTTTGGTATATAATTCGAGGGAATGACAAAATACCAATGCTTTGACAGGTCACTTACTGCCTCTTGACACTTCCTTCTCTTATTTCCTCTCTCCCCCACCATTGCCCATCCATTTCCAGATCCTGTGAGTGTAACAAATATGTATCTTAAATCTGCCCATTTTTATCCATCTCTACTACCATCCTAGTCTAACCTATGATCATCTCTTGGCCTGGACCACTAGAATAATCTGGTCTTCCCATATCCATTCTTGCCCCATGCAGTCATTCAGCTAGACTGATCATTTCAAAATGCAGATATGATCATTTATTTCTGTAATAAAACATTTTGATTACTTCTAATTGGCTGCAAAATCTTTAAAGGCTTATGAGGTCCTAGCTGCTCTGGCATTTACTCTGCATCCTCCCACTGTGGATTTACTCATGTCCCACGGTACTTTCTCATTTTCTCTGTGCTTTATCTGCGTTAGCCTCCCTTCAGCTGTTTGTCACAACATGGTCACTCCTGCCATAGGGGCTTTGCGTGTGATGTGGCCACTCTCTGGAATGCTTTTCCCTATCCCCAGTCCTTTATCTAGGCAACTCTTACTCATTTTTCAGTTTGGTCTCTTCCTCAGAGACCTTTCGTAATTTCTCTGTATCTCTCCCATAGTAGTACGACTTAGTGTTAACTGTGTTTATGTGATTATCTGATTGATCCTTACCATTCCATAGCGGGTTGTAAAAACTTGATGAGATCAGGGACTGGGGTTGGCTTTGCTCACTGTTTTGATTCCCTGATGCCTAGCACAGTGTTTGTAGAATACCCTTAGTAAATACTGGTTGTAAGAATGAATGAACCAGGGGATGAATGAGTGTGTAAGTGAGTGGATGGATGACCGAACTGCCTCAGCAGGGGCAAAGAGACAGTCCCCTGGAAGTCACTTTCTGATGGAATCAGTCAGAGATTAGAAAGCAGGATCTGGTGGTGGTGTTTATTTTCTGCATAAGGTTTGTTCTTCAGCTACTTTCTTTCTTAATCCAGTAAGGAGGCAAATTTAATGTGGATGTGAGCAGACATTCAAAGTGATTGTTCTTTCCTATCTTTTCCTCCTGTTCTCATTTTGAGAAGGTAATAAACCTGATAGAATGAGTAACATCTGACCTTTAAACACCCAAATATCAATATTTTCTAAATTTGTTTGATTCAGGGAATCACCTGGATGTTTGATTTTGGAGGTCTAAGTGGGGGTGGGCATCTGCAATTTTAAACATGTCAGCCAAGGCAGGCTTGGGAAACAGTGTTCTGCAGTTATTATCTAGAGTTGTATATGACTTAAACATGAGTGTGAACCACTTAAATAAACTTGAGCCTAGAAAATTGGTAAATTAGAAGTTGATTATTTACTTTTGAGCTGATTCCTTTCTGTTCTACATGGTTACTAAATTTTTTTCTCTGTCCGTTGGAGCCCATCATACATTATTTGTGGATTCAGATATTTTACAATTTGGCATCTTTTAATTTACTTACTTGTTTGTGTTTTGGAAAACATTAATAAGGAAAGATGTGGAGGTCATTAAACTTTTAAATTTAGTGTAAGACTGATGTTTGACTTATTAAACCAGTTGGTAGAAGTGTTTTTGGAGAGAATAAGCTAATGAAATCTAATGTTGAGGAAAATGTATCTTTTGCATCTTGAAGGTACTGATCTGATAAATATACCAAAGTCCTTCTGTTACCAAGGCATGTAGAAGGTGATAAATGGGAACTTTGTAAAATCGTTCATTGAGAAAGTGTACTGAATCTCTTGTGGAAATATACAAGTATGAAAGGAGTTAGTAAAGTTGTTTTGATTCTTGGTGAAAGATGTCGTTGAAAAGAAATTAGTTTTACTAAAGGGCTCGTGTTAAAGCTGGATATGAATGAATGAAACATGTCAAACAGGTTTACTATTTCAGGAGTGCAGTGGTTGAGGCTGTTCACAGAAACATTTAGCACTGTGGGCCAAAGACATTTCGTGGGTGCCAGATGTGTGAACTCATAAGCAATTTAACTTTAAGCTTACAGTTGGTAGACAAGTTTGAATGGAAACATGTTTTTAAATTGCTTGTTTTCTATAGTTAGTCTGCAGTTACATTTATTTCAGGTAGATATAAAAGATTACTGGTTTGAGTGAATGTTATATTGTGTGCAATGTATGTTGATAAGGCTGCAAAAAAAAAAGATTACTGATTTTTATTACTTACTACATGTACATTTAACCCTCATTAATGTCAGCTATGTCATTAAGAATTAGCCAGTTCAGGTTATTATTCATCTTTTTCTGTGATATATTAAAGATTTTAGAGGGAATTAGTGATTGGGGTATTGTTTGATGAGTTTACATAAAACTGCAGGTCAGGAACCTTTAGTCGATTGTAAAAATTAATTTAGTGACTTGCAACTAGCAGTTTTTTTAAAAAATGAAGTATAGTGGACTAAAATTATAGCCTGTAATAACGATAAATATTATTTTGTGAAACTTTTCAATTATTTGCAGTGATGTGTGTATATATGTGTAGATGTGTCTGTGTATGAGTGAGTACTGGGTTGTTATATAAAATTTATTTCTTCTTGAGGGATATGGTCAAAAAGTTTGGAAGTCATTGCCCAAATTGATAACTAAAGAATTCTTTTGCTTTGTTAGAGTCAGAAAACTATGAGTTCCTCATTACCACGTCACTTTCTTTTGCATGCGTCTTCAAAAGGAAAGATTCCTTCACAATAAAAGGAGTCTTTTGGATGAAACTCTTTGCAAGTGGTTTCATAACTACAGTCTGTATGACATATACCTAGTAACACCCTTTCTTTGTATGTTCCTCTTGTCTCTCATTTCAAGGTTAAATTATATAGTTCACTGGGTAAAATCTTCAGAAATGAGTATCTGGACAGAATTTGACTATAGTTTTTCTGCTTTTTATTATTTTCTTATTTTCTCTTTCACCCGCCTTCCCCTCCTTTTCTCCCCCACAAATATGTTTCTTAATGTTTTTTCCTTTCCTTCTCATGTTATCTATTTTTTGCTTCTTTTCACTTATGTAATATTAATACTGCCACAACAATGTTGTTGGTAATGCCACTTTTGGGAACTTAAAGAAGAGATGCAAAAATAATGTCCAGGTGCATGACTTTCTGGGAGATACTAGGTCTGACTTGCATTTCTGGACCCTTCCAGATCGGTTTTTCAGAGGATAAGAACTCTTAAATCACTTGGAAGCAAATGACCTGTGAGTTGAGGGCTGAACAAGTCTAGATTGCGTTAATTTTTTAGTTGCTGTCATCTAGTCTCACACCCTAAGGAAGAAGAGATCAGGAGACCTTTATGGTGCCCCCACCTTCCTTCGTCTTCCTCCTTCAGCTACTCCTTCTGGTCTTGGGTAGCATATGGAGCTTGTCTAAGTAAGGCAGTGAACAAACTGGTCGTTTATCTTTCCCAGCTGGAGAGTTCTGTTGGACTGTGTTTGGCTTCATCTGTTCTTAAAGGATAAAGTGTCTTTATACCTCACTATTTTGTTTTTCATTGTATAGGACAGTTAAGAGATCTGATCTCTAGGAAAATTTGAAAATTAATCAAATGTTTATAGGGCTAAGTGAAGGTTGGTAATTATATGTATTAAATTCACGTGGTGTTTTTTCCCCCGATCTACCATAGATTCCATTGTTGCATTAGTTAGGATCAGTTTGGCTGCTATATCAAAGGGCAATATAGCAGCAGTTTAAACATGATAGAAAGTGATTTATCTCTTATTTAATAGTCCAAGTGTAAGCACTGCAGCACAGTTATGGTGCCTCTATGCTGCTGGGGACCTAGGATCCACCCGTTTTATTTCTTTGCCATATTTAACTTAAAGCTTTTATCTTATAGTTTGAGAAGGCTGCTCTTATTCCTACCACCACATTGTTATTATTGTAGTTATAAAGTGGGGAATAGAAAGGGGAGGGCATGCTCCTTTTAAGGACACAACCTAGAAGTATATCATTTCTGCTCGTATGCCGTTGATCAGACCTAGTCACACTTAGCTGTAAGAAAGGCTGGGAAATAGTCTTTGGCTGGTCAGCCACGTGTCCCACTAAAACTTCTGTTACTATAGAAGAGAACAGACATCACGGGTATAAGAACATCTCCACCATAATAGGCAGCAACAGAAAAAATATTTACATTTTGGAATTTGAAATATTTATTTTTTTGGAATAAGTTATTTTCTAACTTATTATTACTTTGTGGGAAGAAATTTTCCACTGAAGTTATCAAGGTGATTTCAGCTACTGAAAATAGCTAATCTGAGTTGATGTATTACCATTTGGGACTTTAAGTCAAATTTATTCTAATGGTTAGAGGGATGAGTGTGAAATATAATCAGCAACAAGGTTGTTTTTCTCTAACTCTTATTTTTCTTATGCTGTTTTTGTGTCTTTTTCACCTTTCCTGAGGCTAATTTAATACTTGCTTTCTTTGTGTTTTTAGGTATGGCACAGTCACAAGGGTGGGTGAAAAGATACTTCAAGGCCTTTTGTAAAGGCTTCTTTGTGGCAGTACCTGTGGCAGTGACTTTCTTGGATCGAGTTGCCTGTGTGGCAAGAGTGGAAGGAGCATCAATGCAGGTGAAAATGAAGACAGCTTCGTTCTTTAAAGCACATGCTTTATTGTTTCTCAAGCACGAGAAATGAGGGTTCTGGTTATTATTTCTGTGCTGGGAACTGAAAGGTTTTAAAAAAGGCATTGAACTGAAATTTCACTTTACTAAATTTCTTTATGAGGTTTTTCTAATGCAGTCATATTATAATCAGAGTAGAGATGAAAAATAACATCAGATAGTTTTCTGTGTCTGTAGTTCTATTTTTTATTTTTTTGAGAATTTTAAATGGAGATTCTGAAGAAATTTTACTAAATGACACCACTTTCTATGAAATGGCCATATTTGGATATCCTTTTAAGACCAAATTATTAGTACAGTGGCAGGATGGGTTTGGGTCAAATTCCGTTACTCTATTGAAGTGTACTTTTAGTTTGTAGAAAATTATAGATCACTCATCCGAGATATTCTAGTGTGATCTTTAAGCATGTTGCTGACTGAAAATATTAAGTGTAGTTTACAGTGGAAAAACTTTGGAGTGAAGATATCCAAAAGTGATATACAAATAGTCTTCTGGAATAAATTAGAGAAAATTTTGTTGTTCTAGTTGATGTTTACCACCTAGCTATCTAAGTAAGTTTATGTAGCTAAGCAGAATTTGCATTTTGTAGTATGATTTGGTTTCTTCTGTCATTAGCATGTATGAAGTTCATGAATATTGCTAAATAGCTGTGTAAAACAAACAAATAAAGTGAATATATAAGCTTGTAAGAAATTAAAATTATATGTAGAATAACCAGCTTAGTTTTTTTGTTTTTATTTAGTTAGAACTACTTAAGGGTATAGCTTTCAGCTTTAAGGAGTAAGAATGAATTTGCTTTATTTCTCGTAATTATGGTATTGAAAATCAGAGCTCTTCCTGAGTTCTGGTAGTCAGTGAGATAAAGAAGGGGAGTGGATCCTTAGAATGTGTGCTCTTTGGGCAAAGCTAAATGTTTAAAGCAGGACTGCCTTTATATTTTCTTCTGCTATCATTTGAGGGTGGTTAGGGTCTTCTCTAGGGTAGGGGATTCTGACTTCGACCTTTGTCTTTCAGGTGCCCTCCATAGTGGGTTATCAGCTCAAAGCAAACTGGTCACTTACTTTGAATACAAACATATTTTAATGCAGGGGTCAGTAAACATAGGAAGAGAAATTTATAGGTGTATGGCTTTATTTCTAAGCACAGTTGAATACATTTAGCATAGATTGGATTTTATATTTCCTGCCTCTTTAATTTAGAACTCCTAGCAGCTTTGTCTTAGACCAAATCCTTAGGGAAAGGTAGACTTTCTTTGCTGAGCTTTTGAGTCACATTCTTCATTTCAGTTTAAAACTGCCTTATTCACAGCCACCCAATACTCTTTTTGAATCCATCCCTAGGAACCTTTTGAATCCATCCATGTGTTTGTATCCTTTGGTAACAAATAATCAGGTTAATAATGATGTTCTCCAATTTCATTAGTGCTGTCTTGCTATACAACCTTCACTGTCCTGAGAGGGATTTTTTCAGAACATAAAACCTCCTTACTGTGGATCTGTTGATATTCCAGAGGATCATGTGGCAGTCATAGTACCCAATTGTTTTGGTCTGTTTTCTGTCACTTGTAACAGAATACTTGACAGTTGGTAATTTATAAAGAAAAAAAATTTATTTCTTATAGTTCTGGAGGCTGGGAGGTCCAAGGTCGAGGCAGCACATCTGGTGAGGGCCTTCTTCCTGGTGGGAGACTCTTTGTAGAGTCCCAAGTTGGTGAAGAAATCAGGTGGCAAGGAGCTGATGTGCTAAAGTGCTTACTTGCTCTCCTTATAAAGCCACCAGTCTGTTCCCATGATAACCCATTCATCCATTAGCCCTTTAATCCATTAATCTGTGAGTGGATTAATCCGTTCATGAAGGTATAGCTCTCATGATCCAATCACCTCTTAAAGGCCCCACTTTTCAAATACTATAGTCAAATTTTCCACCCCTTAATACTGTTAAAGAGGGGATTAAGTTTCTAACATGCGCTTTGGAAGGGACATTCAAGCTATCGCACCAATCTTCATATTTTTAGCCCAATAAATTCCTCCTGAATATTTGTGTTCATGGCTTGTTGCTGACAGCCAACAAAATTTATTTAAAAATGTAAGATATATTTCTTGCTCACAAGGAATTGACTGTTTTATGAAAGGACAAGGCTTATCTTTAGTAAAGAAGGTAGTGAAGAAAGTGTTAAATTGTCAGTCCGTGGACTAATGCCAGGTTTGCATTAGATGCATTAGAATCTGCAGATGCATCAGAGTTTCTGGCAGTATTTCTCAGCCTAACCCCCAGGAAATCAAACTTATTACCTTGAAATTCATTTGGTATATTGTGTATAATTTTCTTGAGTACTGGTTATAGGTAGACAGCTTAAATTCAGTTAGGTATAAAGAGGAATTTATTGGAAGGCTTATTATGTACCCATGAGGAGGGCAGGAGTGTGGCAGTTGTCAGGGACAACGGGAACCAGGACTTGAGTGCTCAGTCTTCTCCCTGTTTCTAAGTTCTGCCTCTGTCTGCATCTTGGCCTAGTTTTCTCAGACCAGCTTTCTCCACATGGCAGGGCACATGGCTGCTGGCAGCTCTTATGCCTTAAGATGCCCAGTTTTATCACTACGTGAGAGAGATCACTCTTGTTGGCTTAATTTCAGTTTGAAAAATCTGGAGGAAAGACTGTGATTGATTCAGCTTGGGTCACATGCCTATATCTATAAATATACACTGAGCAGCTTTGGCTAATGGGGTGGGGTACCGTGATTGGTCCAGCTTTGGACAGGTGCACACCCCAGCCTGTAGGCTGAGTGATCTGTAAGAAAATGACTGCATCTGTTTGAACCACATTGTTCTGTGGGGACTGGGGGTACAGTAGAGGTGACAATTCCCAGAGGAAAGGGGGATGCTATTTTCAGAATAAAAGTGGAAAAGATATTCTGGGAAGAAAGGAAAAATATACGTTTGTTATAGTTTGGACTATATGTTATGAATTTCAGTCTAACTGTAGGTATAACATAATTTCATTTATAGTTTCATAAGATATCACTAAATCATACTTAAGATTATTTAAAAGCAGAAATTACAATAATGACATTTGGGGATTAACTAATTCAGCATATTTGAAGACTTCTTTGCTGCTATACAGCTTTGATAAACTGAACATGTTTGGACCGTGGTGTTCAGCAGATTTTTTGACAATTGGAATAAATTTTTGTGTTTAAATTTCTCTAATTACTCGAATATTGAAATAGCTGGCAGGGTGTGGAGATCTCTGGAAGTCCCCGAGCATCCCACAAGGAACACACCTGCTTTTCTTGACTCTGAAGACTGAAAATTATATCTGGTGTATGGCACTTGGTTGGCTTGTAGTGAAGAGGATTACTTTGAATGCGTGATGGTGTCTTGTACCAAGGCTTGGAAGTATCAAAGAAGGCAGAAAAAGGAAGAAGCAAGGAAGAAAAAGAGTGTAGTGAATACGATGAAAGGAAATAACATAGATGCATAGATCAGTTGGGTGATAATGAATGGTGGAGAAAATTAGACAACAGGGTCAATGAGCAGGAGACAGTGGCACAGAGGACCAGTGATAAAGTGGTCAGAAAAGTGCTACAGGACAGAAAAGTGCTACAGTGAAGGGATTGATAGGCCCCTTTGCAGGACCTTCCTTGAAACTGTAGCTTTGATGCTTGAGACATCTCTGCTGCATACTTACATGTAGCACTGGAGGGAAGTGTCATCTAGCCACTCTTTCTGCATCTCAATAGCCATCGAAAGAATCTGAGCACCATTTTGAAAGAATTTGTATTGGTGTAGGTTATCAGTCGTTGCATAGTCCTTTACTTCTTAGGTATACATTCAGGTAGAAAGATCATATCTAGTTGTTGCTGGCATTTCAAATATATGATTAACTTTGTGACTCAGGATGTCATTTGGGATGTGAACAATAATGAAAAGCACTGGTAACAGTTGGAATACAGAGTCGTTTATCAAATGGCTAGTAAGTACAAAACACTATGTTAGGTTCTCTGGGAGGTGGTGAATCAGACACAGATTTTGCCTTCAAGGTGCTTTTAATTTAGTAGAGGAGGTTCAAGAATTATTAATCCTGGATGACAGATACATCTTAAGATAAGATTAATGTGGAAGCACTCAAGCTGTCAGATAGATGTTTGATCAATGCTTAGTATATCCAGAAATGAATACTTATTTGATTTAGTACACTGTTTGGAGAATTGACCTGCAAATTTAAATTTGGAACATAGTGGTACCAGAAAATAACTTTGAGCCTTTTTATTTTTAAATTTTGCTACTGCAAAAGTCAACCCCAAGATTTCAGTGGCTTATATAACAGATCTTTATTTCTTGTACATGGGTCTGTGGGTGGCTGTAGTCACTCTCGGCCATGGGTTTGGTTTAGTCTGCACCATGGTGCAGTGGCTACCTAGGGTATGCTGTTCTCATGGGTGATAGCAGAACACCGGACAATGAGTGGAAACATTCCGACCCTTGTAAAGCCTCAGTTCAGAATGTCCACTCTTCTGTCCATTGTTTGAACATTCCATTGTTCAAAGCAAGTCACAGGGCCCAAACCAAACTCAATGGTTAGAAGTATATATCCACCCATAGATAGCCATGCCAGAGGTGAGGAGGGAAAGAAGAATTGTGAATAAGAGATACCTAACCGACAGATTTGGCTGCCTGCCTCCAGACAAAAGCAAACCACTCAAAAATCAAATGTTGGTGAAAACGGAAGTCAGCTTTTATTCATAAATACTGGTAACCTGAGGAGAGATGGTTGGCTAACACATCTCCAGTAAACCTGAAGGAGAATGGTCAGACTACAGCCATGTCAAAGACTCATTTATTGAGGGGTTTTTAAAGAGGTGGCCAAGGGAATGGACCATGGGAAATGAAAAGCAGGAGGGAGGTAGATGTGAGCAGTGAGGGGTGAGGGCTTCATGCAAGGTCTC